ATATATATATATATATATATATATATATATATATATATATATATATATATATATATATATATATATAAACGTTCGTGTTACACGATCGTCGTTTATTGTGCGATTCGCGTTCTGCTAATCGTAGACAATCTTAGGGTTCAATAATAGATAGAGCCTTCAATTTTTAACGGATTTTTTATAATTCAAAAACTTAAAAATAAATATCTCCATAATCTAACGTACATATATGTGATACTTTCGTCAACAGTTCGATATATAATGTATACGTATGTATAATGCTAGACTTAAGCGCCGTTTGCGCGGCAGTTGATCAAATGAGTACAGTAAAAAATACTGTGGGTGGGTAGGCGCGCTGGTAAGTACGATAAACGAGAGATTTACGAATTTCCGATGAAAAACCGTGGATCTCTTATGCGCAATCTTCGAATGCCTTCGTTATCACATGGTGACAACTGCGTGAGTCTAATCGCGCGAACCACGCGCGCACTGCCACTGATATTCCGTTCTCTTATTGCAATTATTCTCCCTTTTTCCTACTTTTTTCACACTTTCCTTTGTTCGTCTTCTCTTCGTAAGGCGCATTCGAAATCGTAATTACCGTATCGAAACATATAAAACAATTCCACACGCTATAGATTTAACTTACGTTAGAGCACGCGACAATTGGCTACTCTCGCCGCTTGCGAAATCGTGCCTCGACACTTTCAAGAGTCATTCTCACGTTTTGGCGCGCGTCCCGAGATTCGTTATTACAATCGCATATTGACCGTGCACGTAGGTTTAATACTAGTTTTAGAAGAGAGTTTTGTCGACGCGAGCGACGAACCGCTCGTTCCGTGTGTGTTCGTGTATGCGTGTTGTGTGTGCGTGTTTGTGTATATGTGCGTCGTGTTGGTAGTGTATATTGCTTTGGCATCATAGTCGGTGCAGTTCGTACATTTCGGCGACGTGCTGCGTGCCTGGAAACAGAAAGTCAGACACCATAATCTTCGCGAACAACTCACAACACGGATTAACGTGGTAACATGAAAACCGAGATCCATCCGTAATGATTTGGAAGTCGTGAATTCGCTATCGCAAGAGAGTGAGATAGAAAGAAAATCATCGGCATAGACTTCACGCGGACGTCGTCATTACAAAAAGCAAAATTATCGTGATACGAACAACTATACATACACACTACTAAAAACAACAATAATACGACGTATCACCTCATCAAGACTCCCAAATTACAAACGAATGGTAGTGAATAAATTCGTGTAAGCATTTAAATCTCGTTAGCACTTATTTTGCGCGCGCGCGCGCGCGCGACCGATGCATCGATGTATCTCCGATTATGCCCGATCGCTGATCATTTCGATTGATTGTCTCTTCAAATTTGGGAGTACGCTTCATGAGGTTTACATGTTCGAAACACTCGGTACAACAATTGTCACGACGATTTTTCTAACGAGATTTAACTGCTATAATTGAATCACTGTGACACAGTCGTTAAGAGATCGTACTAGGCCTAACATAAACATTATAAACTGCTTCATATATCGTGCTCTGTAACAAATGAGTACAAGTTGTACGTCACGAACATTATCCTGAGTAGAGAAGTCCGGTTGATGATTATAGCCGTAAAGATTTCATTGTCGGAGGTGCGAACAATTAACTTGCGCCGTCGGTGAATGTTCCTCCTACCGTATTGTCGAAAAATACGTTTGCTCTTTCTGTGTTATCTTTTTCAAAATTATCGTGGAGATTTCGGGAAAAACATTTCTTTCGCAGGACGATTAATCACACGCGTATTATATCTCGGCTTTCCCTTTTTGAAAAAATCAGTTGCAATCTCACAGGTAGACACGATGAAGGAACAACAACGACAACGCACCTCGCATGAACAATGCACCGACCAGCTCGTTTCTTTTAATCGTGTTTTCCTTTTAAACCTGATTAAAGCTCGTGGCATTATCTTCGAGAAACGTAGAGTGCACTTCCGACCGATCGGCAAAACTAGGGTGATGTCTCGGAAAAAGCTTTGTTATCCTCCTCTTGGAAGTGTACGCGTCCTCGGTAAAAGTTAAAAGGTCCAGATATAAAATACTCAAAAGCTCTGTCCCTGAAAACATCATTTCACGGGGTACTTGGTCCATAGAATAAGATTGTACGACACTAAATTTCAGTTTAAATACTTTCTTACGACTGCCGAAATATTCGCATCCGACAATTTCAAATGTTCAATCACGAATATATCTAACAATAGTTAATAGGAAACAAACTATATATAAATATATATGTATATATATATGAATATGTATATATATATATGCAATGACGTTCCAACGATGGATAATGAATCTATGACAATCGTTAAATCGTAAAAAATAATCACGCGTCCATCGTCATGAAAAAGATAGAGCCAACGACTTTCGGGAAACATCCCAGAGAACATTGAGGCGTCCTGAGATGTCTCGAGGAAACATCTCTGAGAAAATATAACGTTTAAAGGAAACGTCTCCGGGACGTATCTTTATAAATATATGTAGAGTAGGCCAGATTTCGTCGGATGACGTGTTCCTCGTTTGCCCGGGAGAATACGCGCAAACACTTTGTTTACGTAGACGTATTAATCGATACTGTTTACATATTCCACATCGAGGAGGGAGGTTGTATACACCGACAGTACGAAATTAGCACGTGTATACGTATCTCGTGAGAGCGCATTATCGATCGCGTATGAATACTACACACGTTCTCTAATCCGAAAAGGATTCTCTAAACAATTCGCTAAAAGGCTAAACATTTATGACATCGATATCCTTCGCGTTATTGTAACGGATTACGCATCTTCTGTATATCGATTAGTACAATGCACATGCACAACGAATGCGATTCATACAGTGCGCGTGACAGAAATGAAGAAACACGTGCCGCCGTAACGACAAACAAAAATCACTGCTCGTCCCTGCCTCTTGGGCTTGTGCAGTTGCATTCGTGACTGTAGTTCGTTCAGCTTTGCGTCGATCGCGGCGATCGAAACGATCGAACCGTGACTCGTGCTGTAACTCCGGGTGTACTCAAACGAGGAAGATTGCCCGTGTGATGCATCACGTATGTGCGGAAACGCAACGTACATACCCGTCAATACTTACGGCAAATGATATTTGATAGTACGGAGCTTTGAAAACGAAGACGGTAATCATCGGAATCATCGATCGAAAAGAGCTTTAGGTCCCAAAAGTATCGCGAAGAGCGAGAGAATGAGAGAGCGAAAGCGAGAAAAACATTCCGTGGTTGCAGCTGTGACTTTACGTTCGTCGGAGGGATTATAAGTACGTCTCTGAAAACTCAACATCAGAAGCGGAAGCGCGGGAGGATTTTGTACATATGGAAATACCCCCACCGATAGCGCTGTCCGACGTTCCCTCGCCGGTCGGATAGTCGGCGACGATAAAGGACTGCTTGGGCTGACCTTGCCTGCAACGACTCGTGCCGGCACCCCCCTTCAGGGCGTCCCGCTCCGCCAACTTCTGCTTGATTGCTTGGATCTTTTCCTCCTTCTGCAACACGAGAGACAAGATGATGACGATGCACTCTGCGTATGTACATACGTGAAAATAATATCATATAATTCACAAAATCAAAATTTCGTTATTTAAATCGAATAAACGAGGAATTGTTGCCTTACCGCAGCGATGAGTTTCTGAAGTTCGTCGTTTTCGTTGAGTAGTTTCTGATACTTCTCTTCCTCCTCCTTAGATACCGCACCGTCCGGGTTGTACCTCGATTCGGACTTGTCACGGGGATGCCTGATCACCTCGATTACTTTCGGCACGAAGATGAGCGCCATACTAAGGAAGCAACAAAAGATAGTGGCCAACGCCGAGAAGGCGTAACTCGCGTCCTGCTGGCTAGAGATGACTATTATCACAGGTACCGTTATGAGACACAGAACTACGATATTATATATCGACATTCCCACGTATCTGGAGTCATTGATCAGTTTGATTTTGATGCTTCTCGTCTCGTAAGATAGAAAGAGCCCGAAAGCCAAGACAATTCCCTTGTAGCCGTAAATCAAACCTGGGAAGAGCATTTCGGAATCAGTGCACGCGTTCTTACAGTCACGTGACTGGAATCGATAGATTCTCATGTGGAATTTATTTGTCACATTCCCATTGACGATCGACGCAGCACTCACCGATCCACAAGTCGTAGTGTTCGCTCGAGCAATGCTCTAATTCGGGCTTAATCATCGCGTCCTCGTCTCCGTATGGAGGCGACTCCAGCGAGAAAGTCTCGATTTCCCGACGCAACGGATCAACCACCTGCCAAGTGACGAGTAGGATGATGTCCACCGATAACAATCCGCTCAGCATTACGTACAGCTTCCACGGCTCAATCTTCTTCTGTATAGACGAAACCTTTTGTTTAGCCGTCAATGACTAAAAGGAATCGAGAATAGGTTAAAGATGCGGGATATACGAGCAGGAACAGCAAACCATGCAGGATGGTTCCGTCTTCGTGACAACTAAACTAAAAACCAATCTTGTTACTAAGTGGAAAAGCCGAGGCGAGAAGCAGTACGATTGTCTCTAGAGAGTGGCACGACAGAAGAAAGAAAATTACTTTTTCCGCATTTTGCACGTTGATTCTTTCTTGCGATTATATTAAGGTAAAAGTATCAATGCTTTCGAACATGTATATTTAATCTTCGATATTCTCAGTGTTTTGGTATTTTTAAATATGAATATTTAAACTTTTAATACACACATAAGATACATACACGCACACATATTGAATATAAAAATATATTCTTTGTTAAAAGTTTTAATATACGTATTTAAAAACAAAAAAAGTCTAGGATTAGGTACACATCCGGGGACCGATACTTTTACTTTTCCATCATGTAAAGATCATTCGTACTACTTTGTCTGGTAGCCGGCTGCGATATTAATTCGCAATTTTTAGGACTTACTTACTTTTCCTTGATCGGCTTTCGCTTTCGTGGAGAGCCGGTGAACCCTCCACACCTTACTGAACATAGCACCGAACGCCAGAGTGAAGCCGGTCGACATAGTCCACGCTCTCGCTTGGCAAATTATCAGAAATTGCCAAGGAGTCACAAACCTACCGTCAATTCCAATCAGCAATACCGCCAGGAAACAGCCAATTATACCCAGCAGCATTATCGTATTGGCGGTGGGATAAGACGAATGTATGACCCTGAAAAGAATAGACACCAGTTATGTGATGCTTATTGATTGTAGCAAACAGCTCCGTGCATAGGCAGCACGTTTAGATCACATATTAATGCATGCGGTACGACGAAGTGTATATCGTGTACCTCCGGTGCCTATTATAGACGTTAAATATGATCAATCCGATGGCTATCACGATACCAAGCGCTGACAGGGTCGCCATACTTATGAATAAGGGCAGTGACACCGTTCTCAAGACGGTTCTTATTATCGTTCTGTCCTGCGGCACCTTGCCGCCGATCCATCGCTCCACATTCCGCCACGTCAGATTGTCGCTCAGCGTGTCGTAGTAGCCCAGCTTGACGTACTTGCCGTTGATCACCTGTTCGATCTGCGTCAAGGCGATCCTGTCGCCCTGCGAGCTAAACGCCACGTGACCCTGCAGAAAAAGACTCAAACGTTTAGAGAAATCGATGTGTCAAAGACAATGATTTCAAGTAGCGGTAGTTAGTAATAGTAGTAGCTCCAAATGTGCATTGGTACTACATACGGATACTCCGAGGAATTGGGTCGAGTTTACCGCCGCGTATATCTCGTCGGCGATCTCTTTGTTATCGTAAGTGAAGTTCTTCAGATTCTTTCCCATCTTGCTCAGTCGCTCCATGGTTCTGTTAAACGCTGACGGCAAGAAACGAGAGAACAGTACTTTGCGACTACCGCGTCGACTCGAGTGATCTACGTTGTAAATAAATAAAAAAGAAAGAACAGCGAGACTCACCCAACGCGACGGACCAGACCGCGTCGTAGGCAAGCGGCGCTTCCTGATATCCTTCCGGATATCGATTGTTGTCGATGTCGTAACCGTCGTCCTTCAGCAACTTGTTCAACCTCTTTCTAAAGTCCTCGGCGGTCATACCGCTGATTGTCGTGTCGTTGTTCTGATTCCACATGAGTGCCTCGGTGGTGAGGTGACCCTCGGCCGCCATGCGCATCTGCTCCTTCGTGCAGGTGATGCCCTCCTTCTCCAGATTGATCTCGAACCAGTCGTCCTCGTACCAACCTATGAAGAACCACACGTAGGTCTTGCCGTACAGCTTCTGGTGATAGAGCTCGCAGAGTACCCTCCTCGCGGCCACCACGTAGAACAGGCCGACAACTATCCGCGCGTCCTGACGGCGTAGATTCTTCACCGCGTCCGTCGGGTCCGAGAGAAAGCTTTGCCGCGTGACTATCTCGATGCCGGCTTCTTTACACCGCGCTTCCAGGTCTTCGACGGTCTACGACAATCAGGCGAGTCGAGTGTTCGTTTCTATGAGTAACGACTTGTTTCGCGAACAAGAGAATGCATTTTAAAAGATCCACGCGATTTCTCAACTGGAACTTCACGAGGAATCGTAGAGAATCATGTTATTTTGATCTCAGGGAGGTGACTATGAATCCTTTTCTCCGATGTGAACACGTGAAAGTGAACATTTCCATATGTTCTTTCAAGTCAGAAAATTCTCATTTTTCACGAGTTCACACTGTGAAAAGATTCCCCACAAATTTCTAAAAACTATTTTAAAAACCTCTAAAAGCCAACCTATGTTCTTCAGACACCTTTAAGACATCTTTTAGAAATTTGCGCTACTGGGTCATGATCGACCCGCTGGACAAGAATCCCCGGGCGAGCGAGATAATACATGATATTCTCACCGATATAAACACTTCCTCGGCTTGCTGCAATATCGCTACCCGAGACCAGCCAAACTTCTGCAGCAATTTGATTCTGGTGGGATTATGTACGGTGGCGGATGGATGCGTCCTGAAGAGGGTCGGGAATCGATTTCGATCGGACAACGCTGGCGACGACGCACCGTAACAAAGCTGCGGAACAATTTCGTTTGTTCTCATTGTTCTAATGTGAACATGTATAATTCCGAAAAAAGTACCGAAATTTTAAAAGTAAGACAACGTCCCGAAAAGTCGCAATTATGAAAACTGAATACCGAGACAACTGCCGAAATGTAATTTTCTCGAAAGATTGAAAGCACGTTATTATCCTAAGAAGTAACAATTTCAAAAACTGAGTACAAGGATAATCTCCCGCAATACGAAAAGCATGAAATTGTCAATAACTTATCATACAATTTTGTATGATAACTTTATGTTTTCGATATTTCGGGAGATTGTGTTCCTGTACTGAGTTTTAGGGACAACAGCATGCCTTCAATATTTCGTGAGAATTGTATTTCGGCATATTGTCCCGGTACCCAATTTTCGGGATTATGGCTTTTCGTTGTCCTACTTGTCAGATTCCGGGATTATGCATGTCCATCATCTTTCGTACGTGGCGAATGATGAACGGCGCAAAGCCGATCTTTGCCTCTTGATCGCCTCTGCGAGATTACGACCGCTACTCACCACCACCAGATTCCACATCTTCGCCGCCTCAGCAACCGTGGTGCAGACGGTGCTGCAGCCGGCTAATAGCATTAATTTGTAGGGTGGGAAGTACAGCAAGTTGTACATCACGGACGCGCCGAGACCGGGCTCGCACTGAAAGCGAAACGCGATAAATTGAAGGGCCTGGCCATACCATCGACGAAACGAGGAGCCCCGTCGCCGTCGCGCCGCGGGGCGCGTTCTCGTGAATTTACCTCGCTGTCGTTGGAATGAAGATGCAGTCGGTATCCGCGTAACAAGTTCTTCTCGCGATTAACGTCTTCTAAGGCCAGGTGCGCAGCTGGCATGCAAGCCTGTTGAATAAACGATCCTAATGTAATCCCGGTTGATTAACTCTAATTTAATGGCCAAGTTTACATGCCGGCAAGGAGAAGCACACGACAGGCGCCGTGTTCGACAGGTATATGTTATGTCGCCGTTTGATAGTTCCAAGAGCCTCATAGCATAGAAACGCTCGTAATGCTTTGAGTGATGTTAAGTGCTGACCGTAAACTAAAGTCTATAGATAACAGTAAGGTTAAGTCGAAGGTGGTAGATAACAGACAGAGATCAAATACTATTATACATGAGATAAATGAGATAAATCAGATATTTTATAACAAAATAGTTAATAGAGATCTCCAACTTAATAAATTAATATTTTATTAAAATCGTCATTTTTTCTACATTAAGAGGTTTTCTTCGTCTTTTTTTTTAATTTAATTATTACAATAAGTCTACTATTTTCAGCTGCACTGTGCTGGGATTCTGTAACTCGTTATTGGAGTTAACGAAACTATCATTAACTCCAATAACGAGTTACAGAATCCCAACACTGATGCGATAAGTTAGAGTGAGACATATATATTTATCTCTCTTTAATTTATTGCATCAGTGCAACTGAAAAGAACAAACCAAATGTCTAAAAATGAGTAAACAGTATATTATAGAAAAATTAGAAAATAAAAATTTGCATAAGATACTTTATCAAATTAAATATTTCTATTTCTAATTTCCTTTTTACTATAAAATATTTGATATGTGCTTCAAACTACGTCATAAATAACGATGTGTTCACGCATAATCAGTTGCGGATACGCAATAATTAGACTTCAGTTTATGGTAGCGTTTAATGCAACTTAAAGAGACACGGACGTTCTTATATGCAGAGATTATAAAGTGGCGATTTCTTGTTCGAGCATCATGATGGAAAAACGAGTTTGCGAGGAGCATATCGGTGATCAAATTTCAAAACGCTTGACCGCGAGGAATCGGAAACGCGTGTTTTGAAACGCGGAAGACGCGTCGCGGCTTGTCGGTCAAGAAAATCGCGAAGAATTTAACGGCGGAAGGACGAGAGAATCGCTATGAAGGTGCTCCCCCGAGTTTTTTCTTCGTCGCGTCAGTGCGGATCCCGAGTTGCTTTTGCACGCGTCATCGAGTCTACCCGGAATTCCGCGTTATCTCGCTAAAAGTTCGGGGAAACACCTCGGAACGTGTTGACTCCGGACGTGGGCGAAGAAAAACGTTTCTTTGCCGGCAAACTTGCTCGTCGCCGTTCGTCGCGAGAACTTCTGCTATCCGATCCTCGAAGTTTCCGCGGCTTGGAAAGTTGAGCGGAAATTTTACTCATGCTATCGATGTCACGATCGTCCGCGTTCGTCGAACAATTCGAGCGGAACGACAGGAAACGGCAGGGCGGAGGGAGGAAGGATCGACGAGGCAAGTTACAATGACGCATGTAAGGAAAATATGAGCTTTATAAGTGCCTTTAGAAAGAATAGATCGTGTCTCGTTGACGACTTCGCGACTCGAGCTAATTTCGACGAATAAGCCGACACTTTGTTCGCACACAGAGGAAGAAAGAAGAACTTCGTTTTCCGATCGTCGTAACAATGTCATCGGTATTGCTTGACGTATTGTTTTACGAAGAAGAAGCGCGATTTGTCAAGCATAATCGATCACCGTGCCGTACAGTCTAGCAAACGTTCGTGGAATCGTCACAGTAATCTCGAGTTAGGAAATCGCGCATACAAGGAGACGCAGCAGAACATAGTTCCCAACATCGAGTAATAGTTACTTTGCAAGCATGAAATTCTGGATTTTCGCAAATACGACTATCAAGATATACTGTTCTCTCTCACCTGGCCACCTTGCCAGCCACCCTCGCCGGCGATCGGAAAGATACCGCCGATATGCAGGATATTATCCTCCTCGTCTTCGGGCGGTAACGACGCCTCGGTCCAGGGCGCTGCCATTAAAATCACAATTAAGCCCAACATCGTGCATTGCCATAAGCCGTTCGCCATTCCGAAGCGTCTTGCTCCTCTCTCTCTCTCTCTCGCGCGCGCTACAACCGTACGTTCCTCCCCTACGACATACCAGGTGTGGTGCACGTAGTGGCAAAATCGGTGGTGTGCAATGCCGTTGAGAAGGTGCTCACTGCCATCGTCGCCCGATCGACTTCGTCGCCCGATCGACTTCGTCGCCCGACTGATCGAACACCCTCTCTTTTTACCTCTACTCTTTCTCTCTCTCTCTCAGTCAACGTGACTCTCTTACTCCTCCACCTTGTCCTTCTTCCTGCTCGACCTCGACACTTCTCGTCTAGCCGACCGACTGAGATCAATCCCGATGCGAATCTCTTGCTCGCGAGCCGATCCTCCCCAATTCCTGGAATTCGTCGCCCAATCGACGAGTCTCTCTCTCTCTCTCTCTTTCTCCTCGTGCTCGCCACCGGCTCTTTCTCCTCTACTTCGTTTCGTTCGCGGTTTTTCCGCTGGTGCGAGCTTCGCGTGCTCAGAGGGTGGCTGCTCGCCGCTGTTCTGCGCGATACTACAACGAGACCCCGACCGCGATTTAAGACCCCGTTCGTTCCCGTTCGATCCTGCTCGTGTGTGTGTGTGTGTGTGCGTGTGCGCGCGTGTATGTATGTGTATGTACGCGCTCGAGAGACGACGACGACAACGGCTTACGACGTCACCACACAGCTCGCTCGCGACTTCACTCGCGCAAGGGCACGCCGCCGTCTCGCAGGCCTCGGCGCCGGGGAATTCGCGTGGAAGTGAAGTCAGCGGTGAGCGCGCTTCGCGGGCGTATTCATATTGATTCCAAACCCTGGAGGACCTCGGCGAACGAGTGGTGGGGGGTTAGGATAGGGTGTCTCCGCGAAAACGCGCGCGAGCACCCGCGCAAAATCGATATGGCAGCAATTTGAACGCGCTACCCGCGAATCGACTATCTCTCCTCGCGAAATCAAACAATCGTCTAGACGATCGATAATTATTGAAAGTTCGTAATCGAGGTTCGCATCCTTCGGTCCAGAGAGGCAAATAGATATATAGATGAAGAGAGAAAGAGAGAGAGAGAGCAAGAAAGAATAAGAGGGAGAGAGAAAACCAGAATATGATCGAGCGAGCTCGCTCAGTCGGTAAGAGAGTGCACATCAGCTGATTTCATCAAGATGGCACATGGTTACGGCACGATGTGATGTTAATCGCGGCTGAGTGGACGTAAATAACGGTTTTTTATATCCGCAATATCATATATTTCACCGTGACAGAATGGCCGCGCAACGTGCATTACCACAAAACAAGGAGGCTCTATTGAAAACGTACACGACGCGACTGAAGGACGATGTGAAGTCGATGCTCGAAAATTTCGAAGGTAAATTCTAACCTCTCTCTCTCTCTTTTTCCTGTTTGCTTTTAGTTGATCGTATACAATTATACGGCTCACTGTGCGTGAATGGCTCTCGCTGCTTTCAGAGATAATTAAACTCGCAAAAGGTGAAAATGACTCGCATCTGTCGCGAATGACGCAATGCGAGCAGGACACATACGAGATGCACGTCAGAGCGGCTAACATGGTGCGTGCCGGCGAGTCGTTGATGAAACTAGTCTCCGACATAAAGCAATACTTGATTCTGAACGACTTCCCGTCAGTAAACGACGCGATCGGGGCGAACAGCACATTGTTCAGGAGCAAGCAAGCGGAATGCGACTCCAAGCTAGCCTCATTGAGGGACGACATGGCTGCGGATCTGTACGACTTGGAAGAAGAGTACTACACCTCGATATACAAATAACGGTATGTGTACGTGTGCACATCTATAAAGGCGAGATCTCTTTTACGATTCTCGCGAGGCATAAGTTGGACGGTGGCCCACCCAAGTGTGACTTGCCCATTCATCGACCTGTACATTTGTATTTATTCGAATAAATAGAATTAATTTCGATAATAACGCTCCTGTGTCAATCTTTATCTCGTGGTCGATGTCGTGGATGCGAGAGTCCTGCGTGTAAGCGCAAAGAGTGAGGAGTAATTGCTTTCTTTTATTATTACTTCGATATTTTTTTTAATTACGTGACACACAAACGATACATCACACGATACTTCTACATGGTAGGTAGGTATATTAAAGAAGGTAGTAGGTAGATATAGATCCAAGCTTCAGTTGTTACTAGTCACCTCACGATCGCCTCCACTTATTATTTTACTCCAAGGACACGATACTTCATGATCACTGTACAACGATAATTTACAGAACTGTCGCGGAACTTCACTGTGTGTCGGAGCTGGGAGATTACGATTAACAGTCGTGCGAATGTCTGGTGAATTTCAGAGAGAGAGAAACAAAGGACAGCGGAAGGGGGCGGGGGAGAGGAGAGGAAGGGGAAATAATATTCGTTCATACGCACATCTCCAATTTTTTTTTTTTTTTTTTAAGACACCGCACGAGTGTAATCTCCCGCACGCTCCTCGCATCGTTCGCGTAATCGTAGCAACGAGATACAAACAGGTATCGATGACCAAGCGCGTATTGCCGCGTCTGATGGGAAATCGGAGAGATTATGTTGTATATACTAGGAGAAGAGAGATTAACAAAGAAAAATATCACAGTGTAAGACACAACGCTGTGACACACGAACGAGTCTTTTAATTGATGTGGTTCCACCACAAAATACTCGGCTGAACTGCTACAGCATCTGGGTTGAAATTCTAACGAAAAAAAAAAAAAATATATATATATATATGAAAAAAAATAACGGATAATAATACGCGCGACAGGAGCAGTTTTCGCATTAAATGCATCCTCACAATAAATTATTCCTTTATCGCATCTCCTTTCCACGCTCGAATCAGTTCACTGTCTAAGTGATAAAATTGTAATGATATTCAACTACATATCGCTACAATCGCACATTATCAAATACGTACACGATTCAAAAAACAATACATTTTTTTTCTCTTTTTCTTCTTCAGATACCCGTGATAACGCAACAGTCTGAGATGCCACGTAGACGATAAAAGTCTAAAGGGAAATCAGGGGAAGCGAAAGAAAGAAACAGAAAGGAACGTGAATGTAAACACGAGAAAAGCCGATCTTAAAGCAACGTAATTTCTCTTCTTGTCTGAAGTCTCGCGCGACTCCACGCTTAACTATCATCTTGGAACGGCGCTTTAAGATCCACAATAATAATTTAGTATGTACACAATTCAGTTCGCTTAAAATTAACGATTAACATTAAACCGACGTTTTCTTTTTATCGACGTGCCTCTCCTGCAATCCGGAAAAAGCTATCAATTTTACGTACGTATGAACCTCGGAAACTAAATGCTAACTTGACACGAGAAGACACACACGTACACATCGTGTGTGCGCGCGCGCTGTATAACGGTTCGACTTTCGCAAGGCATACTCTCGTGGTATGATTCGACATACACTCGGTACAAATGATGGAAAGTTCTGAAATTTACAATTCTTACACAGTTTTGCCGAACTGGAGAGAGAACCGCTGCTTATTGTACATATACATTAAATATTACTAAGTAGACTTACGTTCTACTTTGGCAAAAACGTTTACAAATCTAAACTCGAATGCATTTCCTGAACCTTTCTCGCTCTCTTCTTTTTTTTTTCTCTTTCTCGAATCTCCGCGACGTTCGATCGCCGTTTCGCGATTCCTCCACAAAACTCGCGCGAAATTCTGGCCTTTTACTGGCAGCTTGAATCATTCACAGCTTAGCATTAAAGTAATCTCAAAAAGGTTACAAAACTCTTAATTCTCTCATAACTCTTCTCTCCTATGTTATAAAGTATGCCAGAAAGATGTGATATGCTCTCTTACTCTTTTATTCTCCGCGTAACAGAATATCAGTCGCTAGGCTCTCCTTTTTCTCTCTCTCTCTCTCTCTCTCTCTCTCTCTCTCTCTCTCTCTCTCTCTCTCTCTC